GACGACAATAGGAGTAGCCCAATCCGAAGATTCTATTGGAGAAATAATATTGTTCTCGATGAGTCTATCAAGTTCTGCATTAAGAGGTTCCTCGAGAGCTAAAGCAATTGGACGACGTGGAACATGAACAGGATGAGCATCAGGTTTCAAATGGAGGTGAACAGTAATCTTTTTACATTCTCCCATCGAATTATCAAAAAGATTAGGAAATTTACCTTTAAGTGTGCTCTCCTGAATCACATTAATGCATTCTCGATTGTCTGAAACTCCTTGATCATAAACAATCAAATCAAGCTCATCAATAGCTTGAGCACTAATTAAAGCCATATTAGGTCGATCAAGAACAATAATCGGTCCCTTAGAAGTCTTGCCTTTATAGCCCAGAGAGGCGTAGAAAAATCCCACAATTCTAATCGGGTAACCAGATACGTTCACGCACGAAGTAACGTAGGGTCGAAGTTTTGGACAGCCAATCATCTGCCAAATTCTGGTTCCAATAGTAGTTACATCCGCTCCTGTGTCCAGTTGCATCTTCAATATTTTATTATTAATAGAAATGTTCGCAAACTTACGGTGTTGATGTCCTGTTCCGAGAACACCTTGCAACTTAATAACACTAATTTCCGATTCAGTTTTCGACAAACAAGCTTTAGCAATATGACCTATTTTATTGCAAATGCGACACTCCGCATTTTTAAAAGGACAGTCAACTCGCTTGTGGTTCGTAGCGCCACAGCCATAGCATATATACGTATAATCAGTTTTTTTTTAAACTTTATCATTATTGAAACGTTTGGAATTCTTACCTTTATCTTTTTTGTCAACTTGCTTAATGGCACTGACCTCGGAAGAATGTGGTTCTTCAACACGCATGACATCAGCTGTGCGTTCCGCATGTGCGTGGCAAATTAGACGAATATCATCAAACTTGGTGGATTCCTTTTCAGAGACTAACTTGAAAAGTACCTGTTACTGTTAATTGTATTAGACTGCGTGCTTACTTCAAAAAAATTGTATTAATTATGTCTGTTTAAAATTTCATAATCCCTGACAATTTGACTTTTATATATTCCAAATGTTAATTATTATTTTATTAAATTGAATTTTGCTCGTCACCCTATTGGCCCATTTATTGTTAACTTTGTATTTTTAACTTGAAAAGAATAGTCCTCTCGGTATGAAAAGCATGGTCACTAAGAGCAATAGCTGTAAGGACAATCTTGAATTGATCGATCTTGAAATTGTCAAATTCGAAATTGTCCCCCAAAACATTGATTCTGTCGAGAATTTCGACAACGGTCATTGGCGGTGAAGCACGAAAATTTAGAGCTTCAAAACAACGTTGGAATAATGTTTTGTTATCATGAAATTGTTTCCTTAAATGCGCAATAAGGTCACAAAAGGGTAATTCATGAGGTTTCTTTGGAGAAAGACGACTAAGCAAACGTTGATACTCATCATCTCCAAGCGCATTGAGAAGTAATTCCTTACGTTCCTCCTCAGATAACCCTCTAGTACCCTCCTCGAAAGTGCCGGCATGTCGTTCGAACCATAAAGAGAAAGTTTTACCTCTAGTAGGATCATGGATGAACTTACCCAGACGCGCGTGGTGGGGTGGCTGGTGGGAAAGGTTGATAGGAATCTTAAAAGCGCTATTGCGAAAGATGTTAGGAAAAGCAAGCCTCCCGTACGAGGATTTAAACACGATATTGTGCGACGCAGAAGCGATAATTAATACGCGCCCGTTAACATATTTATCGGAAGATCCTGAAGATCTCAGACCATTGTCGCCGTCAATGTTTTTACAAGAGAATCGGGAATACGGTGTTCCGGACTGCGATATGTTATACCGAACAAAATTAGAGGGAAAGTTCAAACATAGGCAGAAAATTCTAGAAGACCTTCGAAAAAGATTCCGAGTCGAATATTTAGGTCAACTTTCACTGAAAAACGGAAAGAAAGGAGAACGCCGGAAAATAAAAATCGGTGACATTGTACTGATAGGAGATGATACAAATAGACGCATTAGTTGGCCGCTTGCACGCGTGATGAATGCGATTCCGGGCCGCGACGGCCAAGAGCGAGTGTTCGTCCTAAAAACAGAGAAGGGATTATTTAAGAGAGCGGTACAAAGAGTTTACCCACTAGAAATCGTTCAAGACGAGTTTGAAAATTCTGCGAAGAATTTACGGGAGAAGGCGAGCGTTATCGGAAAATCTAGCGCTAAGACAAACAACTACAAAGCAACGAAGCGTCCTGATTGCGAACCTAGCGATGGCGAATCTAATGATTGCAAACCTAGCGATGGCGAATCTAATGATTGCGAACCTAGTGAGTGCGAACCAAAGACTGTAACCACGAGAAGTGGACGTGTCAGCCGGAAACCTGATTATTTTAATACCAACATATAGTTAAGGTGAAGATCAACGCGAAAGAGAATCTGTTATTGTACCTGCGATTTTATTTTCTGGTAGGAAAAAGAGAAAAGTTTTGTTATTTTAAGGCTAAATCTACCTGTTTTCGTTATAAGTTCCTAATTTTTTTAAATAGTTTGAGGTTGAGGGACATCTTTTCCAACAAAAGGGGGGGGAGGATGTCGCGGATAGCGCGTAGGGATACCTGGCAAGGAGGGCGCGCGCGGCGAGTGCGTGCGGCGGCGGCGTATGCGGGAGAAGTAGAGAGGGAGACGGGACTGGGCACTTGGGACCCGTCGTCGTGTGAGATAAGATTGGCTGGTAATAAAGGTGTGTGAAACGCAAGCAAGTGAGTTTGAGAACGGAGGATTTCATTCATTTGTCTGTCCCCCACAATACCCGTCAAAATATGACGGTGCTCAGAGAGCACACACGCTCGCTAAACCCTGAATAGCATATCCGTTCGTGATCCAGGCCATGAAGAACAGATAGCAACACAACGTAAGAGCCTCGGCCGGGAGTAGTTCCTCTACGCACATATCATCAACCATTAGAAAAATACGCGAACACAGACATCTCAAACCCGACAGCCGCATCGCTAACCGCACGCCAACAGGGCATATGCGCGGAGATCCTCTTAAACACAGCACCGCAGACAGCAAGACAGGCACAGATGCGGAGTCGAGCAAATCAGGCAAGAGTGTTAACAATTCAAATAAAAATCTATCATCTTTCCCATCAGGGGAAATCTCCGTTCCGATACAAGCCCGCCAGCGGGGGAAGACGCGCTAAAGCGACCCCCGCTAGCGGGCCCGAACGAAATCATACATACACACGAATGACCGTAATTTACAGACATTCGCACAAATTCAGGCAATCTATAAAGGACAATACCCGTTAGTTAAATCTCCATAATCATTCGAACAGAAAAAAAGAATTCAGCTGAGGATCCAAGGTCCACAAGAATTGTCCTCGACGATCGGGTGTAGCACAATTATATGTATCTGGTGTTGCCGCGCCGCTCCGTGCGCGATATATTTTCCCTCTTACTCGCTCCGGAGGAGTTCTCTGACAAGAACCGAAAGGATTCTTTAACGGGATGTGGCTGGTCGGAGGTCACTTCAAAAAGGCACCGTTTAACTATCACTATGTAGCTTTATTCAGCTGAGTGTTACACTGATTGTTTACGACAGGCCGAGGGCCTGACGGACAAATGCTTAGCGCGTAAACGTATACTATCGAATGACGCGTGATTGACAAGTGCCCCGATCTCGGGCTTTCCTCTGGTTTTAAGCCCGATGATCGAGGCGTCAGCGTTCTCGGTACTCGATTGCGGTCATTCGTAATCGGGTCGAGAACTTGCTGACTTCTTCTTCGAATTTAATTAGGTTGCGCGGTCGGGCTTTTGTGGCTCGATCGCGCAATCTGCTTACGCTAGTGTTATTTTAATTGTAATTACAATGCTTGAGTGCCCTCCTTACCTCTTTATGCAATCGGGGCACAACATCCCTCCCCCTTTGGAAGAAGGAAAACTGAGGGGTGAAGTTTTCCGCTCATGGGTTTACCCTCTCCCTTTTCCTTGTTCCTTACAGTATTTATTTACAATATCTGATTAGTACAGCATCGCGGGTTCGCGGATCACATAGTTTGGTGTATTTTGTTGTTTTTTCATTCTATGGTATATTACCCATGCGCTTATGCCTATGATGCTAATTATAATTATTGCCCTACCCGATCCTTGTGAGTGCGTGACATTTGTTCGCAAATATGTGTCTTCTTTCGCACGCGTTTAGGTGGCTAGGGGTCTTTACATAAGTTTGCACCTCGCCTGGTGCGTCTACGTTCACATTGTATGACAGAAATGCTTGATCGCATATATAATTTTACTCGGTTCGCGTACATGTTTCTAGCTCGCGTTTCTTGACTATTAGGCAGTTATGGTTGTGGTTTTTTTTCTTCAAACCTTTATCCTTTAGTACTTTCCCCTTCCCCCCTTATTGTAGTTTTATTCGCCTAATATTCTATAAAGGGTTTTATGCGATTTGCGTGCACTCGTAGGCTTCGTCGTCCCTTTTTTATTGTGTAATTTATTTCCGAGTGCTTTTCTATTATAACGTATGGACCTATCCATTGAGAATCTAGTTTTTTCGAGCGTCCTCTCCTTACGGTTTCGTCGTGTAGGAGTACCTTTTCCCCTACTTTAAACTCTACAGTTTTAGTTCGTTTGTCATATTGCGTTTTTGCTTTTTCTTTCTTGGCTATTAAGTGTTCCTTCGCTGTCTGTTGCGTAGCTCGCATTCTCTCGCGTAGTTCTTGCGCGTAGTCGTCGTACGAGTACGTCTGTCGCGGCGGTTGAGTCAGGGCCGTAGGTAGAGTCGCTTGGTGCCCGTATATCAATTCATGTGGAGTGTATCCTGTCGCGCTATGTGGCGTTGTGTTATATGTAAACATTGCGTACGGGATCCATTCATCCCAATCACTTTGATCCTCGTCTATGTAGTGTCGCAAGTATTCTGCAATAGTGCGATGCGATCTTTCCAGAGCTCCATTGCTTTCTGGGTGGTGAGCCGTCGTCTGGATCTTTTTTATTTTTAATAATTTGCACGTACTCTTGAATACGTCGCTTAGGAAATTGGTACCTTGATCGGTCAGTACCTTTTCGGGTATGCCGTGTTCTAAGATTATTCTAGTTACGAACATTTTCGCGACCGTGACTGCTTCCTGATTCGGTATGGGGATTGCCTTACTAAATTTCGTTAGACTGTCTTGGAACGTCAGTAAGTATTTGTTTCCCTGTGTAGTCGTTGTCAACGGTCCTACAATATCTAAGGCACATTTTTCGAATGGTCTATCTGGCGTGTCTGTTATCACCAGTGGTACCTTTATTCTTCGTGATAATTTATTTTTCTGGCATTTTTCGCATTTTGCGATGTGCTCTTCCACATCCTTCGTTAACCCTTTCCAATTATGAGTCAACCGAATTCTTCGTATGGTGCGTTCTACTCCTTGATGTCCTCCCACAGGCGCATCATGGTATTCATACAGTATTTTCTTCTTTTCCTCTTCTGAGTATTCGCGTTCCGTCGTCGTGTCTGTCTCTTCGACGGTGTTCACGTCAGCAACGTGTCGACTGAGCGCGTCAGCATTTTTGTTTATCGCACCTGCTTTGTGTACGATTACGTAGTCGTACTCCTCTAATTTTAATCGCCACCTTATTAGGCGCGATCCTGGATCGTTTACACTAAATAGCCACACTAGAGATTTGTGGTCTGTGACTATCGTGAATTTCGTTCCGTATAGGTATGGTCGAAAGTGTTTGACCGCCCATACTATGGCTAGCAATTCTTTTTCCGTAGTGCTATAATTTTGTTCGGCTTTATTTAAGACTCGACTCGCGTATGCTATTGGTCTATCCTTTCCTATTTCTCCCTGCGATAATACTGCTCCAATCGCATGATCGGATGCATCAGTCGTCACTATAAACGGCTGTTCGAAATCGGGATACTGTAGAACGGGTGCTGTCGTCAATTTTTCTTTTAAAATATCAAACGCTTGTTGTTGTTCTTCCGTCCACTCAAATTTTGTTCCCTTCTTCAGTGCATTTGTCAAAGGTTTTGCTATTTTAGAGAAATTTTCTATAAATCGCCTATAATATCCTGCTAATCCGACGAAGGCCTGGATATCCTTTTCCTTTTCTGGCGTCGGAAACCTTTTAACGGCTTCTAATTTCGTTGGATCCGGAAGGATTCCGTTATCTGTTATCTTGTGTCCGAGGTACGTCACCTCTTTTCTTAGGAACTCGCACTCCGGCTGTAATTTTAGATTATTCTCTCTCAGCCTTTTTAATACTTCAACGAGTCGTTTGTTGTGTTCCTGCAGACTATGCGCATATATGACTATGTCATCTATATATACGAGACACTTGAGTCCCTGTAATCCGGTTAATACGGCATTCATTACTCTTTGAAACGTAGCTGGTGCGTTTTTTAGACCAAATGGCATTCTATTATATTCGTAGTGCCCATGTGGAGTGGAAAATGCTGTTTTCTCCTTATCAGCTTCCTCCATTTTTATTTGGTGGTATCCCGAAGCTAGATCCAGCGTCGAAAAATATTTTGCATTTCCCAACTGATCTAATATGTCCGTCATG